CCGGTACATAATACATGTTTAACGAATATTTAAGTAGTTTAAGTCTAAGCCGTCTCACAGATCCTATTTTGCATATAGGCTTATTCATAATTGAAATCAATGGCTTGTGATCTGTTTGAACATCGACGTTATTACTATATATGAAGTTATGAAATTTAACTGTACCATAGTGAACTGCTAATAGCTCTTTTTCAGTTTGACTATAATTGATTTCGCTATCGTTCATTGTACGTGAAGCGCATGTTACTAGTTTTCGGACTTTGCTTTCGTATTCTTAGAACATACAACATCCAATCGAGTCCTTTGAAGCATCACATTGTAGTATAGTTTTCCGTTCGCTGTCAAAGGGAACAAATGCAGGTGATTTTGTGATAATCTTTTTTAACTTAGACAATGCTTTCTCGTGATTTGGAAGCCATTGCCATTCTACTGTGGATTTTAATAATTGAAAAAGGGGTTGCATATATTTAGACATTTCGGGAATATATTGTCTTACATAATTGAATGAACCTAATATTCTTTGTAGTTCCTTTTTATTTGTTGGACTACGCAGTTTTATTAGTGATTCAATGCGGTCTGGGTCTATTTCCATACCTTTGTTTGAATATATTTGTCCCATGAATTTGACTCGATTTTGTTTATATTGCACCTTATCTTTGTTAAAGCGTGCATTAATTTTCCTAGCTATAGAAATGACATTTTGAACTGCTACGTCATGTTCTGTCTCAGTCTCGCCCGTAATGATCATGTCATCATGACATATTTGTACGTTTTCTATTTGACCAAAATATTTGTACACTTGTTCTTGGAAAAGATCTTGTGAGTTAGATAGTCCATATGGTAATACTAAAAACCTATATATCCCAAATGGTGTTGAGAAACAACATTTCCAAGAGGACAATTCATCTAATTGCAATGGTGGTAACCCTCGGACAGGTCAAAAACTGAAAAATACTTTTTCCTTAATAGTTTAGAACAAATTTCTTGTGCTGTATGGGAGATCATTGGTTTTCTAACAATTTGTTTGTTTAGGTCAGATGGGTCTAAACATAACCTTAACTTTTTATTTTGTTTTTCTACAATAACTAACCTGTTAATACTAGCATGGGATTCTATTTCCTCTACTTTTGTAATTGCTTTTCTCTCAACTAACCTATCTAGTTCAATTTTTAAGTTTTTTTGAATAGCGAAGGGGACTTTTGTAGGGGGGTGACTCACCGGTTCAAAATTTTCAACAGTTGTTATTTTTACTTTCCCTGGAAACTTACCATGACCTGAGAAAACATCTTTATTCTTTTTTAAGAATTGATTAATCTTATTTTGCCCATTTATTTCGACATTTTGGACAGAGTTTATTCTCTTTACTAAATTTAAGTTAACATATGCTTTCCCACTTAATAAAATTTGGTTTGCTTCATTAACTATCATGAAGTCTTCATACGTGTTTTTATTTTTATATTTGCAATATAGATTTACTACCCCGATTGGCTTTGATATTGACCCTTCGAATGCTTTCAAATTATATTCAGTTTTCCTAATTTTAAATTGTTTATTTACTTTTTTGAAAATATGGTATGGCATAATGCTTACATCGGCGCCTGTGTCAATTTTGACTTTTATTTTTATATTTTCTATTTCGATCAGCTGATCCCACATGCTTTTACATTTTTTAATGTTACCTATTTTTACATTATTGACAAAAATGCTTTCTGAGCTATTACTACTTGAGTCGTATTCACTTTCACTATCATATTTGACATTTTTAATATTTTTTACTCTACAAGCAATGGCATAATGGTTGAATTTGGAACATTTCGCGCACTTTTGTCCAAAAGCGGGACATTCGCGGGGACCATGTACCTTGTGGCATCTTCTACAATTAAATGTTTCTGTACTGACCTTTTTTCCTGTTCACTTTTTACCTTGCTATACTTGTTTCTGTTTCTATCTTCTTTTTCTTGTGGTATTTCACTTCCATAATACTGCTACTTTCCTCTGATCTTTGTTCAAATTCTCTGTTTTGGTCTCTGCATTGTTCACTTGTTATGCAGAATTGTATACACTTTTCAAGAGTTAACTTCTCCATTCTTAGTAGTGCTTCTCTAGTTGATGCATCTCTGATTCCCATTACTATTTTATCTCTCATTGCTTTATCTTCTGCACTTTGGTCTGGGTCAGCAACATTGTAATTGCATCTTCTGACTAATTTTCGACACTCCGTGAGAAAACTTTGGAAGTTTTCGCCTTCTTTTTGATTTCTTTTTAGAAAGTTGTACCGTTCGTAACACTCGTTGCTTCTTGGATTTACATACTTATCTATTACTTCCATCAAGTGTTGATAGTTATCTTTTTGTGCAGCGGGTATATTGAAAGTCAAAATTATTTTGGCTGCCTCTGTTCCCATGATGTTCCTTAGCATGGATATTTTTACTTTATCATTCGATTCATGCTGTCCAGTCGCTATCAAGTAGTCATCGAATGATTGTTTCCAGAACATCCATTCGCTGGCTACATTTTGACCCTGTAGGTGAAAGTCGGGAGGTAATTTGACTGCTCCTGCCCCGAAGTTTTCCATTTCACGTGTTCTAACCTCTAAATTTAGGTTATATTTATCGGTTTTTCCTATCTTACTTTTCTTCCCTCAATATTTAAACTACAGGCTACTGCGCCATGTTTTAATACTATTATGAGTATTTTTAGAGGGTATTTATTAAGGATGCTTTATATTTATTTGAGATACTTTTATTAGATCGATAATACATTTGGACCAGGTTGACATTCGGAATAATGTTGACAATATGACAATTGATATGAAGTATGACATTTTAGTAATATGTACGTTCAAGTTACAACAGGTACGTTCAACATCAAACACCTATATAATACGACCAATTTTTAAAAATAGGTATATTACCCAAAAATAAGTTCCATTCAGAGACTTGCAATTATTGGCTGTAGGATATTTTTTATTTAGCGATTCAAGTACCTGTTTGTCTACCTTTTATGAATTCCATTTTATGAAGATATCTTTGCGTGTTTCGTTTCCCAAAGAGTTGATAGATTTTGGGTGAATTCCGAGAAATTTGGAAAAACAATTTTTTAAATCCATATTCACTGGATTTTCGTTTACATGGACGTATGTAACGTAAAATAATTTTTGTTAACCTTTGTAGGTATATTGTCACGCTTCGTATAAATTCATATTTTTCCTAATTTTAAATAATTATTTAAATAACATCCTGTACATTAAACTTTGTTTAAGTATGTTGACAATTTGTTTTGAATCGCAAGCATGTGCAAGGTTGATTATTTAAATAATTATGAAATATAAATAAAATAATAAACCAACAAGTGAATTTATAAAAATGTAATTTGAGGTCAGATAGGGGATCTTATACGAACTAAGATGACATAAGTCAATTACTTAGGAAGAGATATAAGTCAATCTTTCCTAATATACTTAATTTTTCGTAAGAAACATAAGTCCATCGTTCCTAATGTACTTAATTTAATTTGTCTAACGGTTTTAAACTTTATTTTACACTAAACGCCAACTACTATTTTATTAGTTTTGATGAATTATGCACTGTTGTATGTAACATGAATGAAATTACAGGAGCACTGACACCGACAGCCTCTATGGAAATCATTCTAAACATCCCACCCCTTGACCTAGTCATAAAGGGGGAGGCCAGAATGAGTGCATACAGACTGGAAATCTCCAACAACTGGAACTCACTGGGACATATAAAACATACCAGAATAACACATGAAGTAAATGATTCTATATTAAATATGGGATCAGATCACATGACACCCCTCCTAACTTTTAACAGACTCTTCCAGTTCAACTGTAACTGGAACGAGGTAAATAAGGACATAGATAAATACTTGCTTAACGGTCTCGTATGGTACACGGATGGATCTAAAACTAACAAGGGAACAGGTTCTGGCGTACATAAAGTTAAACCCAAATGCGACATCATTGTCTCACTGGGAAAACATGCCACTGTATTTCAGGCTGAAATACATGTAATCGAATTATGTGTACGAGAGAATTTAATAGGGAAGTACAAAAAACAAACCATCCTAATTCTCTCAGATAGCCAAGGAGCTTTAAAGGCTCTTGATTCAAGTCAAAGCTTGTCTGGAACTGCCTTGGAATACTAAATGATCTGGCAACCCACAACAAGGTAAAACTAGCGTGGATACCAGGGTACAAAGGTGTCCAAGGAAATGAAAAGGCTGATGAACTCGCCAAAGAGGTATCAGATCTACCATTCACAGGACCCGAACATGTATTTGGGATAAGCAATACCTCTGCTCGACAGGCAGTGAACAGGTGGGTAACCACAAAACACCCAATTCACTGGCAACAGATAAGAGGGCACAGAATCAGTAAGCTCATGCTAAGAGGACCAAACCCACGCATTGCTACGGAGGCACTACAACTCGCAAGGCCTAAGATATCCACCCTTGTGGGATTACTAACGGGGCACTGCTTGCTGAAACACCTTCATGTAATGGAATTACACAATGATCCCACTACGTGTAGACTTTGCATGGAAGAGGAAGAAACCTCATACCATGTGATCTTCGAATGCGAAGCTCTTACTGGGCGACGTTCCATCCTTTTCGGCCTAGAACGGGAAAGAACGCCCCAGGAACACTTGGTAGGGAACGTATTAAAACTAACCAAAACACAGGACTATTCCAAAGATAATACCTGAATACAGGGGAAAGCAGGGGAATACAATAGACCCAAGAGGCCGCACTGTTCTGGGCCAAACCTAACGCTACCTGCTTACAACCGATAAAGATAAAGATAAAAAAACATGAATGAATATGAAACTCTTAAACACTTGCTTTTTGATTGCCCAATATAATACAGTTTCTGAAGAGAGATTCGACAAACCTATTAAAAAAATCGAGTGCTTAAATTTGCTGCTGCTCCAAAAACAAAAAAACTCACTCTTGGTAATAGAGTCGTTGAATTAAGAATGCAAAGAGACATATTTGGTCGAATGTTGGGAATATCTCTAGGCCATAAGGTTGATATTAAAAAGGTACTTTCATTCCCACTTACACCTTTGCCAACATACATGTGTCATGCTGATGGAACTATTTGTAAAACAGATAAAGCACAGTTAGTCAAAATAATCGAAAAAACAATGGAAGACAATATCAATGAGCACCCGTTGTGTTTCGTCATAGCTATACTAGATGACTTCTTCATGTTACACCAAATGAAAGAAATACCTCAAACCTTTAATGGGTTATCTAAAAAGGTCCTCACCATGATAACTCAATTTAAAGCAAATCGCATTGACATTATATTTTATCAATATTTTACACCCTCAATTAAAGATTGTGAGCGTACACGTAGGGATGAATCGGCCAGCCCAGTTTCGATAGGACCTAATCAAATACGACCTCATAACTTCACTGCTCAGCACAAAAATATTCAATTCAAAGAAGCTCTAGTTAAATTTTTTTATTAACCACTGGTCTACTGACGATATGGCACCTTTGATTAGTAATAAAACAATTTACTTAAGTTTAAACGAGTGTTACTGCTATCGGGTTGAAGATAACAGGGTAATTATGACCAAAGATGATTTATTATCATGTGAAGAACATGAAGAAGCAGATTCTAGGATTATATATCACATTTGCCAAATTTATTTTGAGGCTGACGTTGTTAAAAGGTGTTCGGACTGATATTTTACTCATACTTTTTGGTAATATGGACCATTTAAGTGCTTTCCTAAAACTTTGGATTAACATGGGCGTTGGAAATCATCAACAATATGTAAAAATCAATAATATGTATAATATTCTGGGTACTACTATATCTAAAGCTCTACCGGGTTTCCACGCAATGACTGGATGTGATTACACACCTGCATTTTTCCGTAAAGGCAAACTCAAGCCTTTCAAACTATTGAAAGAATCGGTAGATTATCAATTAGCATTCCAAAATCTTGCTACCGTTGACGAAGAAATACTGAAGGATGCATTTGTCACCTTAGAGAAATTTGTTTGTCATATGTATGGAATTCGTAATAGTAGCAATATAAATGATGTTAGATTTCACTTATTTTCTACTACTTATCAATCCAAAAATTTTAACGACAACTTCGAAAAGAAATTTAAGAATTTCGATCCATCAAGCCTACCTCCTTGTAAAGTTGAATTACAACATTTATTACGAGTTCGCTATGTGACAAAGTTTTGGAGAAATGCTCACTTAAAATACCCCCACGTCGTTATCACCACTAGCTTGCGGTTGGACAATGAACGACAACAAATATGACTTTCTTTGGTTCCTTGGAGACCAATTACCATCATTGGTTACTAATATTATAGTTCAAGGTAAATATTAATAAAAAAAATTCACCAAACACGTAACCACTTACTTATATTCCTTAATTTAATTAATATTTTTCTTTACAGATAGTAAAGTTTTATAAAACCACAAAATACCTGAAGAAAACTCTGACAATGATGAAAGCAATGATCACAATGAAAGTAGTGACGATGATGATGACCTTGAAGAAGCTTTATTTTAATATGACACCATAATAGAATAAATATAATTAATTATAATTTGTATGTGATTGAGAAAATATTTATAATAAAAAGTTTTTGTAAATACCATGTTTTATTAAATTTTTTATTTAATTTTATTCATTCTGTGATTAAATTTTAATCTTTATTAAATAACTTATTTCAAATATTTTTCTATCTATCTCTCCTGACGCTTCCTGTTGCAGTTATATCTCTCGCGGAACCGACTAATAACTTACTGCACTTTCCTATATATCCGAGACTTAAATCGGTCTGGCTCTAATTAAACAACAGAATATTAAATTAATTTTAGATTCTTTAATAGCATCACTATATCATATTAAAATTTGAGCTATACTAAAATGATTTGAATTTGTATGGCATGTTACATTTATATTGCTGAAAGGATATAGAAAATTATGAAGAAAAAACAATCGACCTAAAATGATTTGAAAATACGAAATTTGTACCTGTACAAAAAGGATGCGCAGAAGAAAACGCAACCACTCCCAGCAGCCAGATGTGCCGTATACCCATCAAGCTTCAATAAGAAAAGAAATATCAAAAGATCAGTCGACCTAAAATTCTTTCTCGGAAACGTTGCTAGCTCTCGTACTATTAACCAAACCAAATGTGAGGCACAAAGCTAGAGAGCATATCGATAGCGGCGATATCGTAGTTGCCACTTGAGTTTCGTTATCGTGATTACCGCTTTATATCAGCTGTACTGAATATGTTTGTTTACTATTTACATTAAGAAAAGGACATTTTAATCGTAAAATTTAAACGGTTTTTCACTTACAGCTGTTAGTTTAATCACAAGTAAAGAAAAATACTTTGATTTTCCATACTAAACTAAATAATACGGAGACCATCGAAAACACAGTTATGTGTTCAGTCATGGCCGAACTCCCAAATATTTAATTAAAAACTATTTTTATTCCTACAAAAAAAAACACACTCTTTTTTCAAACCTTTAATATTAATGATTATGATTATGAATACATACATCGTTTTTACGTATTTGTACACAGGAAAATAAGTTATAATTTTCAAATATTTAATTAAAAACTAGATTCATTCCAACAAAAAAAAACACTTTTTTTCATACCTTTCATTTAATGATTATGATTACGTATTTGTACATAGGATTATTTTTTCTATGGCTTGGATTTTCCTCTGGAACTCAAAAAAGTTGAACTGTTGGGATTCAGTTGATTGGATCTGTTGTCTAAATCACTTTGTGTCATAGAATAAGCGGCTGCTATCAAATCCAGTAACATAGCTTCAAATAAAATTATAAATTAAAATTTTTTGTATGGAGTTTTTCTTAAATAAATAATATATAACTTAATTCTTCCGTTTAAATAATTGTATCAAGCAAAACTGATCACTTATAGAGGGTGTTTCAAAAAGGTATGTCATAAATTCTTCCTCAGATAGATTACCAAAAAATAAGTGGATTTGGCTATATTTACCTATATCAAAAACTGGCTCCCAACAAAGTTACAGGACGTTAAACTAACATTCAGAAAAACGTTTTTTTTTTTTGTAAAAAGTTTGCTGTTGCGATTTTTTTTTCGAAATTTTTGCCAGTGCTGTAGATTTGAAGGCCCAATTTTCTAAGAAGAAAAAAATTTAAAGCGACCCCTTTAAAAAAGTTGGGGGTTGGGTACCTTTTAACCCCCCCCCCCTATTTTTTTACATAAAGAAACTTGCTTTATCGATCTTAAAATCAAAAAGAACTATGAATTTTTAAATTTTGTTTATAGCGAAATGAACTTTGTACCTTTCTTAGTTAACGAGCTATTTACAATTTTTTAACTGGACTTATCATATCAACAAAACTAAGAGTAGGTCAGGAGTTATTGTACAACGCATATAAAAATCAGTGGTGTGCCTAGAGCTGTGTTTGAGCCGCCTCTGCAAAAACTACTATTTTAATTTATATTTTTGTAAAAAAGGTATTTATAATATTGGATTGACGCCATAAAAATGGTGTGCAACCCGCCCTCATGTGTTTACCATGCCACTGATAAAAATACACTTTAGTTTGGAAATGTATTTATTAAATTTTTTAGTAATTAAAAAAAAACTTTTTTTTAATTAAACAACAAAAAAATTAATAATTAAAAATAAACACTGGACAATAATTATAAACTATTTAATTTAGTAAATGTTCAACATGTCCTCCTCCTTCTTGAATACAAAAATATAAATAAAAGAGCTAATTTTTGCAGGGGCGGCTCAGGCCCAGCCCTAGTCACACCACTGATTTTTATATGCGTTTTTTGTACAATAACTCCTGACCTACTCTTAGTTTTGTTGATATGTTAAGTCCAGGACGGACGAATTGCTCTAGAAATTCAGTTTAAAGATTGTAAATAGCTCGTTAACTAAGAAAGATACAAAGTTCATTTCACTATAAAAAAAAATTATAGTTATTTTTGATTTTAAGATCGATAAAGCAAGTTTATTTATGTCAAAAAAAATACGGGAGGGGTTAAAAGGTACCCAACCCACCCAACTTTTTTTAAGGGGGTCACTTTAATTTTTTTTTCTCCTTCAAATCTACAGCACTGGCAAAAAATTCAAAGAAAAAATCGCAACAGCAAACTTTTTACAAAAAAAAAACGTTTTTTTGAATCTTAGTTTAAGGCCCTGTAACTTTGTTAGGAGCGTTTTTGATATAGTTAAATATAGCCAAATCCACTTGTTTTTTGGTAATCTATCTGAGGAAGAATTTATGACATACCTTTATGAAACACCCTGTATATTTGTATAGAAATTGAAAATAACTAATGAATTTATTAGCAATAAAAAAGAAAGACTTGAAAAAGTTAAAATTAGACGAAATTTTGATAAAGAATGTATACACGAGAGTGTTTAGCAAACATTTTCCAAAAGACTATTATTATTATTATTATTATTTAATTGTTTACAGATTAGGCGATGTTGCCTAAAATGTTTTAAACTTAAAGTGAGATGTGTCTCATTAAAAAATCTGGCTTTTTGAGACCTCACTGAGGCCGCCATTTTACTTTAGATGTATACTATTTTATTTTGAACTTATGTTTTATGAAATATTGTAGTAATAGTCCAAGAGCCTAGCGGCCGCAAGGCTTTGAGCATATATAACTAGAGCGAGCCATCGTCCAAATGGACTTTGTTTTGGTACAGGGGGGAAATATAGTGTCCAGCATTCCCATTGGTCTGTTTCGTTTTGCTTGGCATGTCAAATCGTTCGAAATTGTCAGAACTGTCATTTGATTTTTGACTTTCATTAATTTCTAGCTTATTTTTGTAGTTTATAAGTGATTTTTTGTATTTTATTACTTTAGTGATACAAATTTTAACAATAGTGAGAGTTTTTGTAAGTTTTAAATAGAAATACGAAAAGGCATCGTCCAGGTCATTTCACAAGTAAGTAACCATTAGCGTCTCTACCATTTTTTAAAAGAAACATAAGTACCTACATTTTATGCAAAAGGCCGTTAAACATGAATTTAAAATAAATGGTAAATTTAGTGAATTAAATTTAAAGAACTTGTATTATGTATGAGGAATATTATTTTAGATTTTGGGATATACTAAAAATAATAATAATAATTTACTATTACTAGATACCTAATTAAATAATGCAAGTTTATAAAATATGTGCATAATTTAAAGAATTTTAAAGGTATATATCAAATTTATTATTTATATTAATTGCAAACCCCGTAAAAATGATGCGACACTGAAAATAGTGTCTACCTATTTCCCCTCACAACCCAAACAAACTCTGTTGAATGCGGACTCTATGAAATATATATGCTCGAAGCCGCAAGGTGATACGATCGTACTTCAGGAAGTGTCATCTGCATCGTACCTCGAGCTGAAAATTTACATATAAATTTTTTGAAGGTCATAGATGAGATGAGGTAGGCCTAGGCTACGCCATGGCTACGCCTTTGTTAGAGCTGTCAGACGACCTCAAAGTTGTCATTTTTTGTTGAAATTTACAATACATAGAATTCATTTGATAACTCACTTGACATGTCTCGATATTTTACTTAGTTAAGCATTCAACATGCAGTAATATGAAAATTTAAAAAATACGTACTTACTATTGTTATTTATTTTAAATACATTTTATTTTTAATAAATAAATAACAATATAAAACGTCAAGAAATAAACTAGTATTTTGTTTTGCGAAGTATTAAATATAAAAAAATATATGTTATTTTCACAGAAACAGTTCAAAAAAGTATATTCGACTGACAACGAGAGCTCTCGTTAATTGATGAATTTTGATAAAGGAACATGGACACTTAAGCTGGATTTATAAACTTCGTTCAGTTCGCGACTGTAGCGTGAACTGAACGCCAACTGAACGTAGTTTATAAATCCATCTTTAAAGGGCTTAGTTACTGAGATAGTTAAAAGTTTAAAATAAATATTCCAAATTTGGCATAAATCAAAAACGCCTTTAAATATTTTTTCAAATTTGGTAAACCAATATGCTCTTTAAGAAAGTGATATTTTAACATAATCTAACTTCTGCAAAAAATTAAACAGTAGCGCGCTATCAAGATTACTGGCAATTTTTAACCCTCCAAACATATTTTTCGATTGTTTTTCGTTTTATTTTTTTTTATTTTGTTCATTTTTAGTTTAAAAATCTGATGTGTCCAACACATGACTTCTATCTAGTTATTACAGGCTTTTTCCGGTTATTTTGTACAACCTATTGCAGCACCTCTATAAATGTTTAGAGGAGGATAAACTAAATATATACATTTTCCACATATATCTACCTCGAAACATTTTTCTATAGATATTTATTGAAAACGAAAATACTGAAAAATTTAAATTTAGCACTTTTCCTACAATTTTTCCATTACGGTCCATTTTAAAAAATCATGTATGAACAAAAATTATAGAGATCGATATCGCAAACAACTTTTATTTCAACAATTTTCATAAAAATCAGAATTTTGCACATTTTGTCAAATTTCTCGAATACGGACCATTTCAGGAAATTTTTACATAGAACAAAAATTATAGATAATAATATTAGAAGTAACTTTTAT